GGGGAGATATTGTATTAACCTTTGATGATTGTTAAAGCATAATAGCCACTCTAATATTGATGGCTCAGACTTATATTTTGAGTTAAAAGTGTTAAGGGATTTAGTACAAATAGAAGATAATGCACTAATCGATATACTTAATTACATAAAAGAATTGATGCATTTTCAAATGCCTTACAGTTGCCTCAACGGAAAGAAGTTTTTCAAAATAAAAATACATAAGATCAATGTCTCAACTCTCAAGTGTGATTAAATCGGTTAGCTATATTATGAATTGAAATCTTTTTAATAAAAATCGATTATAAAGATTTGTGCCTCTAATTGTAGTTTCGCTTTAGGCCTCCAATTATGTCAAGTCGCCCCTGATTCTAAAGTCGAATTGTGACAATAGGTTGATAATGCTTGTCCGTATCCCTGCCTACCCACTTCAAGGCTTAAGTAGATGCAAGAAATCACCTAGCGTTTTCTGTCTATGATGTGATTTGAACAAGAAGTGAAAAATATCTTTGTGAAAGGGTGGCAGTAAAACTTGAACAATGAGCATCTGCATACCATGTAAAATTGTGCAAACCACCTCATCTAAAGTTTAGACGGGACATTTATATTTATTTTGGACATGGACGTTCAACATTCTGTTTTTGGAATTATGATATCTAAAGATTTCTTTTATTATTTTGTTTATTCCCTTGCCCCTTGTTTGTGATTGTTGTTTGGGTGAGGATATCTAAAGATTGTACTCTATTTTTCCTTTTTTATTGACTGGGTTGTTTGCAGGTTTTCTAGGCGGCATTCCCTTAGCGTACATCATGGATGGTTTGAGGACTTGTCCAAGGTTTTTTCTTTTCTTCATATTGAATTGTTTCATATTTCATTCTGTAAAACCAACATGGTTGTAAGGTGAATTGATCATTTCCATTAGTACCTTGTGATTAGTCAGTTTATCGTTGTTGTATAAGAACTTATGTGTGCGTTGATCATTTCATTATGTCGTAGTTAAAGATTTTAAGTCTCACTTTGAAGATATATGACCCGATATTATGGATACTTCTCAGGTGGCCAGGACTAGGAATTACAAAAACTGCTACATTGCAAGGTCAGCTTGTCATTCCAAAGAATGCAGTAGTTCAAACAGATCAGCGTTGTCGAAGAGGAAAAACGAAAACACTTCTGTTCTTCAAGTTTTAGACATGCCACAGATCAATTATCTGAAATCTGTTCTCATTTCTGGGCTTTTCACTCTTCTGTTCACACAACAAGCAAGTGCTGCTTCAGAGGTTGCTACTGGCTTGCAGCAGTTTCCTTTCTTTGGGGACCTCGGAGATTTAAGCACAGGTTTTGCTTCAGTTAGGAAAATCTCCCAGCAACTTCCATTTCTAAAATCTTGCTGCTGTTTTACCTTATCATGTAAAAGAAATAATTGAGCAAAAGAAATAACAATGGAAATCATTTCATGCATCATGTATTGACTTTTGTTTCTTGCCAACTATTATTCTCCTTCACGGAACACATAACAAATGTTAATCATGTATCCAACAAAGAGAGTCTCATTTCTCCTTTCACTCCAATGAATAAAAAATGACTGGCGTGACTGCGTCATATATGAACTGTATTAGAGCTGCTTTCAAGCGTTGTTGTTCTCCTCCCCTTGCATGTTATTCTCTTTATTGAGTTTGTGAAGGAAAAGTGTTCCACCAAAGAGTAATTAAACCACCTTTTCTTTCTTTCTTCCAATTTTGCAGGCATTCTTGTTGATATTTTTCTCAGAGCTTGGGGACAAAACCTTCTTTATTGCTGTAAGGGGACTTTAACATTCAAAAACTCTATGTAGATGAGACATGACTAGCTGAAAGAAATAATGATATAAATGCTTTTACATGTGCGTCATCAAAGATAGGCTCCTTCTAATTTGTTATGTTATACTCTCACAACTAATTTGAATATTCATTTATATGAGCAGGCTCTTTTAGCAGCTAGGAACTCTGCTGCCGTCACTTTTTTGGGGACTTTTGGTGCACTTGGGTACGTTATCTTTCTGCACCATGTAATACAGATGGTTTTTATCATTTGTTCTCAATTATTTAAGTTTAACGCAGTAGTTTGGTAATCTCACTAACTAGAATATGTAATAAACAAGTGTTTTGATGTTGAACTTATCATATCCCCCACAACTTTTTTAATATCCTGGAAGATGTTCTATTTAGAAACCCATCTAACCACTCTAAGCAAACAAAACTGGAATTCATTCTCTTTATATTAATAGTGTCTGTGTCATTGCAGGGTAATGACGATCATATCAGTGGTTCTCGGACGAACTTTCCACTATGTCGATGACGTTCTTCCTTTCAGGTTAACAATCTTTCTCTCCGTATAATTATACATTTAAGTATGACAGATAAACTTCTGAAGATGTAATTGTGAGAAATATTTTCAGACAATGCATACCGGGAGGATTCAAACTTTTTCCTTTCCTAGTTTCTTCTAGAAGCAAGTAACATACAATGTTTTTCTGGTTTAATGCTGCGACAAAATCCCTAACCTTATCATGTGAGTAGATTTAACCAAAATCTAGCAAATCAGTCCTTTTATGTTTTTTGTCTAGTTCATTTTTCTGTTAGAAATTCGAGCAAGCAGGTCATTACAATCTACTTCAGAAGTTAGATAATATGTACCAAAATTAGTATATATCAGTCAGACCTCTCTATAATAGCATCCCTATATAACAACATTTCACTATAAAAGCCAAGCTTTTCCGGAACCAATTTTCATGTTATGTTATAATATATGTTCTATATAACAGCACTTCGCTATAACATCCAAAAATATTCGGAACAAACGAGACTGTTATAGAGAGGTTTGACTGTGTAGAATTTAAACTGACGTGTGAAAGGCGCACAATGATTGCTGTAAATTATGTTCAAATTGCTTATCTTAGGTTGTGTCCACTGGCCTGAAACCATCTTTCTGCCTGTGAGGAAGTTTGTCCTTCTGCATGTTTATCCAAACTATTATGTTTTCTGGCGTATCAACTTCATTTGTGTTAGACATTTCCCGCCGATTATCTCAACCTACAAGCCATCCTTATGTCAGGCCTTTTTTAATAGAACGAGACTGCTATAGATTTTCGTTCTCATTTTTATAAACTTCTGCGGAAGGTAAGTCCAGTAACCTTCTTAACATAATGAGCAAGAAAGGACCCCTTACTGTAAAATAGGCCCTAGCACGACCTTTATCTTTTTCCGGCAAATACTACTTCTCCTATGTTTTTGGATGGTATAACAGATTATAAGATGTTCTTTTCGCTTTTGGAGTAATTAAAAAAACGCATTGCTGTGGATATCGATCATTTTTCTTTACGTTGGGAAGTGTAGTAACCTTCATGATGTAGTGTTTCTTCTACCTTTAGTTTTCATTGATGTTTCAGCTGTAAGAAGCATGGTAATTTAGATGGATCACTCCATTTTATTTAACGGACTTTGTTAGCATCTTCCATATCTTCAAATAAAGGAAATATCATGGGTGGTTCGTCTGTTATACGCTACGCTAATGCAGCTGCATAAATGCAGATTTGGTGAAAATGATTTGCCAGTGGATGATATTGCTGCAGTTTGCCTTCTGGTAATACATGATCTAATATTTTAGCCACGCTATGAGTTGCACCCACATGCCATGTGAACTTGACGTGTCCGGTCATATTCAATTTTGTCACAGGTGTATTTTGGAGTGTCAACCTTGCTTGATGCCTCCTCCAGCGATGGCATGAAAGCGGAAGAGGAACAGAAAGAGGTAATCCAATCAGCATCCCTTCTTCTATTAAGTACTGTTCTAATTTTAAGATGACAAGTAGATTTAGTGCACATGTATGATAATCTTTTGAGTTAGCATCTTATATATTATAGGCTAAAATCAGCACTATGGGCACTTATAATAACTTCTTTTGTTTCTCGTGCTTTTTCTGTCCACTAGAAAACTGTAAAAACTTGAACTTTTGGTTCATTTAAGCTTTTGATGAAATAGGAACTATTTCTTTGTAATTTTGGAACTCCCTATCTATCACAAGACAACATATTACTTATAGTTTTCTTCTGTCTGATAAAATGTATTTATCCATGGAACTACATATTTGCTGAAAAAATCGAACCTTTGTTTTTAATTTTCGATTTCACTTTCTTGGACTCAAAACAAGTCAACTTCTGAAGCACTTACCTACTGCATAAAACAGTTAGCGAGGATCTATAAGTTTAAAATTTACATAAAATTATGAGGATCGAGAGATCAACGCTTTATTATAAGATGTCTACTGATAGTTAAACCATTCCTGGCATCAGCAATGAGCTTATTCTAATTGTGGGCCTCTTTGTTTATTGAAACCAGGCGGAGTTGGCAGTTTCTGAATTTTCAGGAAATGGTGCTGGAATATTGGCTGCTGCAAACACTATAGTTAGCACATTTGCGTTGGTCTTTGTTGCTGAGTGGGGTGACAAATCATTTTTCTCTACAATAGGTTAGTCATACCCATGGTCAAAGCAGAAACTAGTGCTTTTATAATTAACTTGTACAGGAGTATATTCCTTTACTAACAGCTAGGCGTTTTTCAATCTAAAAACTTACATGAAAAACTAAATAAGAAGGCGAATAGTGTTATGGATTTCAATCGCTGTTGGATAAACTTATCTCCTAGTTTTGGTAAATGACATCAAATTAGTTTAAGTACTAACACAATAATCTAATTTCAGCTCTTGCTGCTGCATCTTCACCTCTTGGAGTAATTGGAGGCGCATTAGCCGGTCATGGAGTTGCAACTTTGGTAAATCCAAACCCCTAATGTAAATGTTGCTGCTTGCGAGCATCATGTACAAGCTGCAATGCGACTTCTTTTGCAAATAATAGCAACTTGAAACTCATTTATGTTTAACCTTTCAAGGAAATCATCATGTTATGCAAAAAAGTATTATTATTATTAAAAATAAAGGCCTTTAACTTGATACCTTCAGCATATTAAATAGTGCGGCTTTTTAACAAGAGTACCATGTTCGGATTTCTAATGAAATGTATCCACATCGGTATTTGGTGCATTAGTTCTTTTTCTTACTTTTGGTATTGGTCTGTGCCTCTCTATTCCTTCAGAGCAGGGGTAAGAGTAGAGGTAAGGTCTGCGTGCACACTACCCTCCCCAGACCCCACTTGTGGGATTTACTGGGCTGTTGTTGTTGGTATTGGTCTGTAATGCAATTTTATACAAATCGGAAGTTGATTGGCGGTAAAATTTTCTCTGCAGTTGGCTGTTCTAGGAGGTTCATTACTGGGGTCATTCTTGTCTGAGAAGGTAAGATTACTCTCTCTATCTGATAAGTTAAATACAAGGCACATTTATTTGATCCCCTGAATCTTCTGCTCGAAATGAATTTACCCTATAGATTTCTCCTCTGGAATCCACTATAACAAGAATATGTTCCTTCTCAAATTGCTGACCAGAAAAAGTACTCAACGATACTATCTGTTTATTTCTTTTTAAGCATTTAAATAATATCAAATGATTCAATTCCAGTGTTGTTATTGTACTTATATTGCCTAACCACCTCTGACACTTGCTCAACCTTTGTTAAGACCCAAGAAAGTTCATATACTAATATTATATAATGAGTTGTTTTTGGAATAATTAACTACATAATTAGTAAAATAGAAGCTGTATTTTATGTCAAATTTGCCAACCAGATCTTTCCAGTTTTAAATAATCTCCTGCTTACGCAACAAACAGTGCTTAACCAACTTCTTGTCTTGGTCATCCAATTACCAGTCTGCATTAGTTATTTTCTTCCAGTTGACTGCAGAAATCCAACTTAATGGTCTGTCATGAAAAATGCCTTCCTTAGCAATTCGCATCCTGTTTATCAATGGCGAAGCCGCATGGTCATAAGGGTTCGTCGAAAAATTGTATTGTGTATATAGGTAAAATATTACATTTTAGAAGTATATAACACATATTGAACACCCTTTGTCGGAATTTTTTTTTTTCCTTTATTTTAAATTTGAACATCCTTGGCAATATTCCTAGCTTCGTCACTGCTGTTTATAATGCTATTACTCTGAAAAGGAGAGAAAAGAGAAACCTTGACTCTATACATGCTAGTGTGTTTGGCATGACGGAAGCCGCTTTCTATGGAAAATGCTTTCTAATTTTTGGTTGGTGGATGGAAAATATTTTCTAAAGAAAACATATGTTAAAGATTAATGCTAATATCATTAGCAAATCGGAGAGTGCTTCAATGAATGTTTTGAGTATGAAAGATTCATAATAATGTCTAACTGCCAACTAGAGCAAGTAATATGAAGTTAATAGTTACGATAGCCTAAGGAGAATGACTTTCGCTCATAACACCCTTTTGATTAAAAACTTGCAAAATATTTTGGTAATTAAATTCGAGAAATCGATGACTTTGTCTACAGCTTCTAAGTTTGAGATTTGATATGTTTGATGTTTTTTGCACATGTTAATGAGCAAATCTCTTGTTTCAGGCCATTGCATACATAGGTGGTACACTCTTCCTAGTATTTGCAGCAGTAACAGTTATTGAGATAGTGAGTTGAAACTACAATTGTTTCATACTGTATTTTTTTTTTTCTAGCAAAATTGTACTTGTTATTTAGACCTGATTTTATTATTTCCATAGCCACAACCAGGTGGAGAAATCTTGAAAATCAGAGCATTCTAGCTAGGATAATTGTTTGATAACTTGTGTTTCTTTGTCCAAAAGAAGAAACTAACATTTCTTTATTACTCTTTCTGTTAGTCAACTTACTCCAACCCCCCCCACCCCCACCCCACCCCACCCCACATTCAGCAGAACTAAATAAAAAACTTAGGGGCAGTTTGGTATGGTGTATAAGAATAGTATTGAATTGGTTGTATTAGCGATGTTGAGATTAGTTATGCTGGGATTATTTCTTATCCACTGTCAGGTTTGGTGTATTAAAAATAATATGCATTGCGTAATTTTTAAAAAAAAAAATTATTTGTTTACAAAAATACCCTTCAAAAACATTGTAAAGGAATAAGGATTTGGAATTTTTTTCGAAAAGGCAGTTCTATTTTTGTACATGCTTATTCATGTATTAAAGACCACAATATTACTAGAGCCATGGATTGTTATCTATAAGAATAGAAAAAAACTACCAAATAAAGGATTAATAGTACCGAAGCTAATGCATGTGCTATTTTCCCTTGTACATCCTACCAAACGACCCCTTAAAGAAGAATATGATTTTACCAACTCTGGACTAAACACTACCAGAGTGCGGAGTTTAGGTTCTATACATGGGTAGGGTAGATTTTTAACACCATCAAATTATGTTGACATATAGCCTATGTTGCTCTGACTCTTCAAAATGTCGATGGGTGCATGTTGGATTCTCCAACAGTAATGTAGTTTTGGAGGATACGATACGAACGTGACAACATATTTGGAGAGTTGGCGCAACATTGCCTATAACAACATGGAAATGAAGTAATTGCTGATGTACTCGGTTATAAATTGAATTTATGATAATTAAATATTTTTACACTGTCAGTGTATTTAAAAGAAATCCATAAAGAATATGTGCAACTTGCAATTATCTTATTTCATTGCTAGGAAGCTTTACAACCTTTGAATGTGTAGTACAAGTGTCAAAGATGGAAATCATGGTTTAGAGTTAAAGAGGATTTCAAAAACCAATAGTTTTTCAGCCTTTAACATCCATTAAGAAACCACAATGTTTTTTCATGTCTGAAATATAATATATGCCTTTACACACAACCCAAAAGTCGAATCTAAATATAGAGACAAGACATACCATTCTCAGTTCCTGCAATGTTGTACTAATATCTTTCTCCCTCTTAACTTTTCCATTGAAATAAATTTATTTTAATCCCATTACCATAACGTACGGTCAGAGGTGTAGCCAGGATTTTAAGCTTATGGGTTTGGAATTTTAATCATTAAAAGTTACTGGGTTCTAAATTAATCATTTATACATATTCAATGCATTTTGTAAGACAAACACAGGATTCGAATCAAAGTTACTGGGTTCGGCCGAATTCTGTTCCAGCACTCTACCTCCGCCACTGCGTACAGCTACCCCCACCATTTGTGGACATGGCTTTACTTTACTTCAATAGGTCCAGAGTACAATTGCACTCACTATGACTACAGTCTTTTTTTTGGCTTTTCCGTCCGTTGTCTGATATTCGCTTTGAAGCCCCGATTAATCCGAATTTGGTGCGTAAGGCCATTAAAAGATGAAGTGTTCTCTACAAAAAAAAAAAAAAAAAATCACTCTTACACTCGAACTCGAAACCTCTTATTAAGGGTAACGACATGCTATCCATCTAACCACACCGGACACCTTGATAGTCACCAGTAGTGAAGTCAGAATTTTCACCAAGGGTATAAATACACCGAAAGTTTAGGGTAGTCAATATATAGTAAATATACAAAACAACGAAAAAAAGTTATCTAGCAATACAATGTAATTTTTCGACGAAATGGTGTCGGTTCACACCTTAATTGAATGTGGCTCCGCCATCGATAGTCACTGTGACAAAACTTGTCACCACAGTCGTCTGATGTTAGATCATCATAGTAAACGACACAAACCTAACTTTTTGTCTAGAATTTTATATAAACGACGCAAACCTAACTTTTTTGTGTACAATATATTTAATTCGCCAAGAAGGTCCTAAAACCTTTTTTTTAGTCCCAGTTCGAAATTTTAAAAAAAATGATGAGCTTGGTCACAAGCTTAATACCCTTTTCCACTAAGGCAAAACTTTAAGTATTACCTTTTATACCATACGTTCATAGGGTGGTTTTAAGTTTAAATTTGATGGACTCGACCTGTAAATTCTTGAAGGACAGTTTTGGCGTAACTGGTAAAATTGTTGCCATGTGACCAGGAGGTCACGGGTTTAAGCCGTGGAAACAGCCTCTTGCAGAAATGCAGGGTAAGGTTGCGTATAATAGACCCTATGGTCCGGCCCTTTCTCGGACCCCGCGCATAGCGGGAGCTTAGTGCATCGGACTGCCGACCTTTAAATTCTTATTAATAAATTCATTAAACGATAAAAATTAATAAATTCATTAAACTATAAAAATTATTGGTTCAAAAAAAAATTGGTAATTATAGTGTTATTTCACACACACACATATGCCGCATAAGCTCATATTAAATGGTTTTCTTCTTATCAATACAATGTAGAGTCTCATTTTTTCTTTTGGCCGTCACATTAATCAAAGAGAAATTTGATTTTCATTGTACGCTACAAAAAAAAATAAACAAATACTTTGCTACCTAATAATGGAGTGTGGCAAATCAGTGTAGCTCAGAGTTCAAAACAGCAGTAAAATAAAAAAAATAAAAAAGGTTAAACGATTTTTTTCGTATTTGTTCAAAATTGTTGAGAAGAGTTATTCAATGATGGGAGATAGCACGTATTTGATAAAATAGTTAAAATGTACACAAATTGACCTCATCATCTTGCCGAACTCGGTTTCCGCACTCATAACGGTCCCGGCAATTAAAAGAAAGGATAAGGTTAGACTCCCAAAGAACTCCTTTATTAAAAATTAATCTGAAACGAAACACTTTGTCTATAAGCATTGTAAAACAGCAAGAATTTAGGCCTAATCGCTCTTTTCGGACCACTCTAGTATGATGAATCGAAGATTCGACCAGAAAAAATGCAAACACGATAGAAGAATTCATTCCGTCGCGTCCATATACCACTATTATTAAGAAATAATGGAATACAGAAAGTTTGAAGAAAATGGGCTCATGCATTGATAGCACGTGCATTCTATAGCATAGAATCTTAATGGCATATACTCTTTTGAAACTAAAAGAAAATATATAATAAAAGAGCACAAAAGGAACCTGTCCAATTCTCATCCTAGATTTGGAAAAAGCAAATCAAAGGTTGCAAAAGAAGGAATAGACAAAATTAAAAGATCAAGAAAAAACCTTTATGCCCACAAATATTTTAAACATACAAACATGGAATATATGCTTAGCTGTTTCCCACTGCTATCATGACCCTTAATAAAATAATTTTTTTAACGGAAAAGGGTTCAAAATGCCCCTAAACTATTGAAAAAGGTTTAAAAATACCCTTCATCCACCTATTGGGCTAAAAATACCCCTCCATCCACTTTTTTGGTTCACATATGCCCTTTGACCGTTAGGTCAATGCTAAATTAAAAATAATTATTATCTTTTTGTAAAGCTTAAAAAAAATATTTTGCAAAATATTTTCGTTTTTTTAAACTAATGTAGCAATAGTCCCTTATTTAGTAAAGTCTTCTTATTTTTTTTCCAGTATTTACAAAACACAATTCAGTTTTTACAAAAAAAAAATATTTTTTTTTATTTTTTTAGTTTTTTAAAAGCATTTTTGGTAAAAACTGAAAAAATTGTAAAAACAGAAAAAATATTTTCGTTTTTTAAAAACTGAAAAAATATTTTCAACAAAATATTGTCGTTTTTGAAAAATATTTTTTTCAGTTATTTTAAAACATTTCGTTTTATTTTTGTTTTCCAGTTTTTTTGTAAAAGAAAAAATATTTTCAATTTTTTAAAAAAACTGAAAAAATAAAAAATAAATATTTTTCAAAAAAGAAAATACTTTTTAAGTTTTTAAAAACAAAAATATTTTTTAAGTTTTAAAAACGAAAATATTTTATTAAAATATTTTTTCTTCTGTTTTTAGAAAAAATGCTTTAAAAAATTGAAAAAAATTAAAAAAAAATATTTTTTTGTAAAAACTGAAGAAAAAAAAAGAAGAAGAAGACTTTACTAAATCAGTGAACCACTGGTGCATTAGTTTAAATAAACGAAATATTTTGTGGAATATTTTTTTTTAAGTCTTACCAATAGAGTAATAATTATTTTTAATTCAGCATTCACCTAACGATCAAAGGGCATAAGTGAACCAAAAAGATAGATGGGGGGATATTTTTAGCCCAATAGGTGGATGAAGGATATTTTTAAACCTTTTCCAATAGTTTAGGGGCGTTTTGAACCCTTTTCCGTTTTTTTAGTCAAAATATAATAAAATAAAAGTTGAAACTACAAGCAATTTGTATAGACAGGGTCGACTTAGAACGAGTTTTGCTGGTTCAATTGAATTCATTCCTTTCAAATAGAAATATATATACATATAAAAAATAATTTTATACACACACATATATATAATAAGATCATATTTATTATGAAATCATTTTTGTCTCAAGTTGTAGGATTGGAACGATTAGTGGTATAGATTTTCTATAACAGCATCTATATATAACAGTCATTTATTATACAACAACAACAATAAGAAGAAGTTCAGTAATTTTTTACAAGTGGGGTCTGTAGAGGGTAAGATGTACGCAGCCTTATCCCTACCCTGGAAGGGCAGAGAGGTTGTTTCCGATATAACAATCATTTATTATAAAATTAAAAAAAAAAATTCTGAACTAATTTTTATATTATATTATCGTATATGTCCTCTATAACAATCAAAAGATATCGAAAAAAATAAGGTTGTTATAAAAAAATTTGACAGTACATAAATAATTTCTAGAACTTTCTTCTTCTTTTTTTCTAGAATTAAGTGGTAATATAGAATGATTTAAAGAGAAGACCAAAATTAAGAGCTAAATAATTGTTTGTTTGCCTAAAAACCTTGATAATTTGGTTTCATGTGCTAAAGTGTGAGTATGGCCATTGAAAGAAACGAATACTGAAAATGTGCCAACATTG